TGAGCGAGGGAGCGACTCCTCACTCGTTTGGCCAGAGAGAGACCCCCCATGTCACTGGTGACGGATTGCTATTACAGGGCTACACAAGGTAGAGAAGTACTCCCACCAATCAACGGTCCAATGAGATAGATGTCAGCACCTCGCTGGTGGCTGGTATTGAGCAGCCTTCCAATGAGTGAGGGAGAGACTCCTCGCTCATCCAGCTATAGAGGAAGACCCCTCATGTTACACTAGCGTTCTCGTGGCCGGTTACGGATGGCCATATGGGTCTACAGAGGGCAGAGAAGTACTCCGCCTACCTCTGGCCCAATGAGCAAGACGTCACTCCCTAAGCCCACAACATTGAGCAGCCTTCCCAAGAGCAAAGGAGAGACTCCTCATCCATTCTATAGAGGTGGCCGGCGGCTTGTGTTGAGCATCCTTCCAATGAGTGAGGGAGCATGATGGACTTTATTGCAGGAACTAAGAGAAGGCCACGAGAGGGGCAAGCAAGGTGGACTTCATTGCAGGGGCTAAGAGAAGACCACCAGAGGGGTGAGCATGGCGGACTTCATTGCAGGGGCTAAGAGAAGGCCATGGGAGGGGCGAGCATGGTGGACTTCATTGCAAAAGCTAAGAGAAGATCACCAGAGGGGCGAGCATGGTGGACTTCATTGCAAAAGGTAGGAGAAGACCACCAGAGGGGCGAGCATGGTGGACTTCATTGCAGGGGCTAAGAGAAGACCACCAGAGGGGTGAGCATGGTGGACTTCATTGCAGGGGCTAAGAGAAGACCACCAGAGGGGTGAGCATGGTGGACTTCATTGCAGGGGCTAAGAGAAGACCACCAGAGGGGCAAGCATGGTGGACTTCATTGCAGGGGCTAAGAGAAGACCACCAGAGGGGCGAGCATGGTGGACTTCATTGCAGGGGCTAAGAGAAGACCACCAGAGGGGCAAGCATGGTGGACTTCATTGCAGGATCTGCTCTTTAGATTCGTTTAGAGATTCGGTTGGGTCTCCTAGTTGTGTGACAGAAGGAAAGTGATCCCTCATTAGGGTAAAGCCGAGCTCCAGGGCTGGCGTTATCGCACGGTTCTATCAGTCCGGCTTGGACCAATGTACAGCATACATATCCCATACCGCGGTGGAAACAGCAAATCATGGCAGTATGCGCCATTACCGCAACGCCTGCCACTGCCTTCCAGGTCTTGTGCCCAGTAGCTGCCCTGCTGCATCGTAACCACAGGGGGTCACTTCCCATTCCCAGACTGCCCTGCACTTTTCCTAATGAATGCAAGGTGTTCGCTGACTGGACGAGGGGAAAAGACAAGATGCCGCAATTTCCTCCTCATCCAATAAGAGAACGCCTTGCTCCCACCAAAAAAAACAAAAAAAAAAAAAACGCAGGACGCGCATCTGAGCGTAGTGTCCTGATCTGTTACTGAGCATTCACTAACAAATAGGGACAGCAGAGGGCGCATCTGAGTGTAGAGTCCTTATTGGTTTGTTATTGTAGAGAATCTTCATTAAAGGACAGCAGAGGGCGCATCTGAGCGAAGTGTCCTTATTGGTTAATGAAGATTCTCTACAATAACAGATAAGGGCAGCAGAGGGCGCATCTGAGCGAAGTGTCCTGATCTGTTACTGAGCATTCTTTACAGTAACAGCAGAGGGCGCATCTGAGTGTAGTGTCCTCATTGGTTAATGAAGATTCTCTACAACAAATAGGGACAGCAGAGGGCGCATCTGAGTGTAGAGTCCTTATTGGTTGTTATTGTAGAGAATCTTCATTAAAGGACACGCAGAGGGCACATCTGAGCAAAGTGTCCTGATCTGTTACTGAGCATTCTTTACAGTAACAGCAGAGGGCGCATCTGAATGTAGCGATTTTGAAATTATTTGTTCACCAGACAATTGGCAACGTACACAAATGGTGATGTCAATCACTCAGGGACACAATCACACTTCTAGACAGGCCTCCAGGGATGGACCTTCTCAGGTAAGTTGCCGTCTACTGAATACATTTCACTCAGATGCCCCTCGGCTGCCCTTATCCGTTACTGTAGAGAATGTTTCAGTCTCTTGAGAGGGGCTGGAACTTCGCCACAAGCCCACCCGGACCACCCTCCCAGGGTACAGGTCACATACACGTCTGCACCACAATCTCTTGTTCCACCAAGTGCCCCGCTGCACAGTAACCACAGGGGGGTCACTTGCTCAGGTCAGGACACAGAAGTCTGCGGCTTCCTACGGGAGGGGGGGGGGGAAATCACTTGCTCAGGTTGGGACCCAGAAGTCTGCAGCTTCCTACAGCGGGAGGGGGGGGGGGGGGGGGGGTTTCACTTGCTCAGGTCGGGACCCAGAAGTCCGCGGCTTCCTACAGGGTGGGGGATCACTTGCTCAGGTCGGGACCCAGAAGTCCGTGGCTTCCTAAGGGGGGGGGGGGGGGGGTTGGTGTGTCACTTGCTCAGGTTGGGACCCTACAGCGATTCTCCACTTCCATATGAACGCTGACATTGGTCCAACCTGGACCAAGCCAATAAAATCCATCCCCGGAGTTCAGCGGGCTTCATCAACATGAGTCTGGCATTGCCCCCCTTCGGGTTCCACGCAGCGCCACCACCGTCCGTGGCTCAGAGGTCCTCCAAGTGAATGGAAGCCGAGCAGCCAACGTGACGGACGGCTCAGCGGCAATGTGTGACATAAGGAAGAGTCCCCGAACCTGAAGACGTACGATTACCGCGATCGATACAAAATAACACGCATGTAAAGGGGCAGCAAAAGGGACCGGGAAGGGGAACTGGGGGGGGGGGGGGGGGGGGGCGGTAACAGATTGTAAACACGAACAGATCCCTCGAAATGTGTCTGACACCATCCAGCAGAAATAATTTATTTATCCTATCTATAATATACAGGAGAAGGACGGGGAAGTTGGCAATTACGAGCTTGTCTACAGAAAACGCCCTTCTACCCCGACCTTGTACCCTCGCTGCGGGAAAACGGGCGTCTGCGCCGGACTCGCCTCAGCTCTGCGGTTCATTTATGTGCAAAAAAAAAAAAAAAAATCTAATTTCAGCTGGAGACGAGATGGTTCTGAGCCAAACCCCCCTCCCCCGATCAACAGGTCAGCGCCTGCCTCCTCCAGACCCTCCGGGAAGCACTGGGAAAGGACCCTGGTATAGAAGAAACACCGCTTACAGCTCGTCCATCCCGCAAGCACGCCATTGTGCGCACGGTCCTCCGACTTCAGACCCGCTGCACGTGTGCGCAGGGTGTCACGCCCTTATAAACTCCAAAATGTTCAGTGCAAATTGCCAAGGAAATAAAAAGTACACGTGTCCGTGGTGACGTCACGTTACACAACGAGTCCCTCTGTCCGTGGTGGCGTCACATTGCACAATGCGTCCCTGTGTGTCCATGACGGCATCACATTAAACAGCGTGTTCCTGTGTCCATGGTGGCGTCACATTACACAACGCGTCCCTCTGTGTCCGTGGTGGCGCCACATTACACAACACGTCCCTGGTGGCGTCACATTATAAAGCACGTCCGTGTCCATGGTGGCGTCACATTATACAGCGCGTCCCTGTGTCCATGGTGGCGTCACAATATACAGCGCGTCCCTGTGTCCATGGTGGCGTCACATTATACAGCGCGTCCCTGTGTCCATGGTGGCGTCACATTATACAGCGCGTCCCTGTGTCCATGGTGGCGTCACAATATACAGCGCGTCCCTGTGTCCATGGTGGCGTCACATTATACAGCGCGTCCCTGTGTCCATGGTGGCGTCACATTATACATGTCCCTCTGTCCGTGGCGGCGTCACATTATAAAACACAACCCTGTGTCCGTCGTGGCGTCACATTATAGACGTGAAAGGGCCAAATATGGGAAGGGTCCTGCTACGGTGTGGGCCCAGTCCATCAAAAAAAAAAAAAAAAAAGGAAGGACGCTGACGTCTTGGCGTTGTCCACCTTGGAAGGACAATAGCTGGCCTGCGCAAAAGGTTACACACCGCTGGCGGCATCTTCCCCCCACCCGACGCTCGTTCCTGGCAGGACTTAAAAGATGATAGGAAGAGGCTTCAGTTTGGCTTTTGCGATTCCCCGGATCTCCCGGTCTGGATTGCGCGGGGAACGCATGAAAGAGGGGACGTGTGTGTGAAGCAGGTTAGACCTCCCAGAGAGGACGCGGGGTGCGAACTCTGCGATCCTAAAGCGGGTGAGACCCAGGACTCTGCAACACAGAAAAATGGAGTCAGTGCCTTTCACAGCGAGCGGGCGACAATTACAGCCAAAGATCAACAAAACAATTCGGGAAAACCTCATCCAATCACAGAATGCTTTGCATGCAGTCAGGCTGATCCTCCTGTATTCACAATGCATCAGACCGACCCCCCAGCACAGGACCTGGAAGGGAATGGAGTTCGCTGAAGTACCGGGGTCTCCTTCAGTGATTTCCAGGGGCATCGGCCAGGTATGATATACAGTCCCCCCCCCCTCCCCTGGACTGTAATATATTATATATATATATACACACACACACATACATACAGTACCTCCCGTTAGTGAGTCCACCCCTCACATGTTTGTAAATCTTTGATTCTCTCTTTCCATGTGACAACACTGAAGAAATGACACTTTGCTACAATGTGACGTAGTCAGTGTACAGTTTGTATAACATGGAAATTTTCTGTCCCCTCAAAATAACTCAACACACCGCCATTTTTGTCAAAAACTGAGGCATGCTGGGAGTGGGAGGGGACATCTTGAGGCGGTGCACAGTGTCCGATCCTCCTGTAGGGGGCAGTATAGTGTGAAGGTTAAAGACTTCCCATGTCACTCAATGGAGGCGGTTGTCATTTCACCAACAGAGTAGCCCGGAGAAGCCTACGACCCAACAAGTGGCCTAAAGCCGGCTCTGAGCCGGGCAAAAAACCAAAAACCAAACCCCACATGGGGAGCAGCGCCGGGAGACTTGTACTCACCTTAAAATAAAGCCAGACAGAGTGGTCGCCAGTCAATCAGAAGGGTGCTCCGGACAGCATCTGTTCACTTCAAACCAGGAATCTATACAGCTGGAAGAGACAAGAACACGTCATCACGCCAGACGCACACAGCGATCAGTGCAAGAGACCCCACGCCAAGACATTTCCCCCCCCCCCCCCCACGCCAAGACATTTTCCCCCCCCCCCCCACGCCAAGACATTTTCCCCCCCCCCCCCACGCCAAGACATTTCCCCCCCCCCCCACCCACGCCAAGACATTCCTCCCCCCCCCCCCCACGCCAAGACATTCCCCCCCCCCCCCCCCCCCCCAAGACATTCCCCCCCCCCCCCCCAATCCACCCCCCCCACGCCAAGACATTCCCCCCCCCCCCCCACGCCAAGACATTCCTCCCCCCCACGCCAAGACATTCCTCCCCCCACGCCAAGACATTCCTCCCCCCACGCCAAGACATTCCTCCCCCCACGCCAAGACATTCCTCCCCCCACGCCAAGACATTCCTCCCCCCACGCCAAGACATTCTCCCCCCCACGCCAAGACATTCCTCCCCCCACGCCAAGACATTCCTCCCCCCACGCCAAGACATTCCTCCCCCCACGCCAAGACATTCCTCCCCCCACGCCAAGACATTCCTCCCCCCACGCCAAGACATTCCCCCCCGCCCCCTCACGCCATGGCATCCCCGCCCCCTCACGCCATGGCATCCCCGCCCCCTCACGCCATGGCATCCCCGCCCCCTCACGCCATGGCATCCCCGCCCCCTCACGCCATGGCATCCCCGCCCCCTCACGCCATGGCATCCCCGCCCCCTCACGCCATGGCATCCCCCCCGCCCCCTCACGCCATGGCATCCCCGCCCCCTCACGCCATGGCATCCCCGCCCCCTCACGCCATGGCATCCCCGCCCCCCCCTCACGCCATGGCATCCCCGCCCCCTCACGCCATGGCATCCCCGCCCCCTCACGCCATGGCATCCCCGCCCCCTCACGCCATGGCATCTTCGTCCCCTCACGCCATGGCATCTTCGTCCCCTCACGCCATGGCATCTTCGTCCCCCCCTCCAACCATGACTTCCCCCCCTCCAACCATGACATCATTGACACCACACACACCCCCTCCCATGACATCAAATGACCCCCGCCCCCCCCAACCATGACATCACCTCCATCCCCCCTCCGACCATGACCCCCCCCACCCCCCCCCCTACCATGACATTCACATCACCCTCCCCCCCCCCCACCCCCTCCAACCATGACATTCACATCACCCCCCCCCCCCCCCCCCCCCCCCCGACCATGATATCACACTAAGACTGTCATTACTTCCCTCCTGAATATCTGACTGTCTGACTTCAAGTTACTGGACGGGTGGATTTGTTTTCCCTGGGAAGGACTCGGCCTTTTCTGCCATTTTGTTTTACATGTAACTATCTTTTTTTTTTTATTCCTAGAAAGTTCAAACCCCAAAAATTATATATATATACTTATTTTTTTACGCAGGCGCCCTATTGAATGAATCGGTGGGTTTTGCAATTTGTGTCTTTTTTTAAACGCAACTTTCTGGGGTGTGACATCCCCTCCGGCTGCTTGGAATAACAAATTGAGCAGCTAGTTAGGCGCTCTGATTGCCATTACAAGAGAGCCGACCTCCAGTTCTAAAGAACCTGCAAGCATCACCCAGTACAGGTACTTACAGGCCGGCGATGGACAGGTAGGTGGCGATTGGTTAAATGCAGAAAAAATCTTTTGGAACGAACGTTGTCGGCCCACGGGGCCTCTCTAAAGAACTTCTCCTTTAAGGAGTCATGACAGAAGTGACTCAGCACAGGAGGCGTTAATAAGGGCCCAGTAATTACCACCCCCCCCCCCCACAGGCCGGTCCCTGACAGGAGATGGCTTCCAGCAGTCTGGTTACTACAGCAACAGCGGGCCCGCACCAAGCCGGGATGATCGCCAAGTAACCAGGACAACTAGACACAGACGATGCGCCCGGCACAGCGCCGAGAACATATTAGAGGCGAACCGACAGCGACAGGAAGTACTGAGCGCACCGGCGGGTTCAACCTTCACCCATCCGCTACATTGTCTTTCCACGCGACTCCGTTCAAATGAACCCAAAAACTAAAACCCCGCGGCTTGCAGCTCTCCCATGTCTGTGATACTGGAATGTCATGCATGCAACACGGGGGTGCAGCGTCGTCCCTGGGCTAAGCTCCGCCCTCAGGGGACAATGTTTATACAAACACCCCCTCGTCTCCGCCCCAACCTCATCTCAGCAGTCAGAAGCAGAGGGGAGGACAAAACTCCTCCTACAGATCCTGCACTTCTTGTAGCTGCAACGCCCCCTCATCTCCGCCCCCACCTGGTCTCAGCATTTGGCAGCAGAGAGAACAGAACTCCTCCTACAGATCATGAACCTCTCTGTGCAGCTGCAGCACCCCCTCATCTCAGCAGTCAGAACCAGAGGGGAGGACAAAAACTCCTCCCACAGATCCTGCACTTCTTGTAGCTGCAACACCCACCTCTCTGCCTCCACCTGTTCTCAGTAGCAGAGAGGACAAAACTCCTAATACAGATCCTGCACCCCCTTGTCTCCACCCCCACCTTATCTCGGCAGCAGAAAGGAGGACAGAACTCCTACAGATCCTGCCCCTCTCCTGCAGCTGCAACACCCTTTAGTCTCCGCCCCTCTATGAAGCTGCAGTGTTCCCTCGTCTCCGCCTCCACCTTGTCTCAGCAAATGGCAGCAGAGAGGACACAACGCCTCCTACAGATCCTGCACCTCCCTGTGCAGCTGGGGCGCCCCATGTCTCCCCCCCCCCCCTTGTCTAAGCAGCCGGCAGCAGAGAGGAGGACACAACACCTCCTACAGATCCTGCACCTCTCTGTGCAGCTGCAGCACCCCCTTGTCTCCGCCTCCCCTGGGCTCGACATTCAGCAGACTCCAGCCCTCCTCTGTTCCTCCTCCAGATCCTGCACTTCCTGCTTCCCAGCTCCATGCCCAGCTTCTTCCTGGCAGCAGCACAAGGTAAGGGGGGGGGGGTGTGCACTGTGATGTAAGGGAGAATGGGGGGCCCTTGACCTCTGACATAGGGGGGTGGGGTACTCTGGACATCTGGTCTTACAGATACAATCGGCCCTTTCAGGGTCACTATAAAGCGGATGTGACCCGCGATGAAATGGAGTTTGACACCCCTGACCTACACCCTCTCCCCACCCCCAGTCCTACATGCCTCCATGGGGGATGAGCGGTCAGTGCAGGGGTCCCAGGATTTGAGGTTTCCACTTCTCTCCCCTTCCTATACGGATCAGAGTGATTCTGATTGGTCAGCACCAACATGTGACCGCTCTGACCAAACAGGAATCGCTCTGCTTACAGAGCGGGGGAAGGGTCGGCCGCCTGTTCATTTCTCTCTCGGTGCCTCTGCCGGGACTTCCAGTGATCGATCGGACCAGAAGTCCGGGACTGACCGAAGAAATGACACCAGACCGAGGTTCTGACGGGACCAAATCTTACAGAACGTTTGGTCTGGAGTTCTACTTTAATGGTTGGCAATGCACACCCCCCACCACCGGGGGCAGGCTGGGATCAGCAGCGATTGGGTCGGCAGAGAGCGGATTCCTTACCTTTTGTGGTAAATGCAGAGGCAGGGCAGTCTGGCTATCGTGTCCCCTTGTGAGAGTTCCTCCAGGCAGATGACACATTCGCCCGCGTCCCGCGTCAGCACGTCGTCTGCGGAGCGCAAAGCAACAGGTTAGACTGGACCCCCCAAGATGGACCTTTGTATTCACAGACATGAACCCTGGACAAGGCGTGTCCCTCTGCGGCCGGAGACAGCCAATCACCAGGCCGGCCCCCAATCCACCAGACCGGCCGGCCCCCCCAGTCCACCGGCCCGGCCGGCCCCCCCAGTCCACCGGCCCGGCCGGCCCCCCCCCCAGTCCACCGGCCCGGCCGGCCCCCCCAATCCACCGGCCCGCCCCCCCCCCCATCCACCAGACCAGCCGGCCCCCCCCCCCAGTCCACCGGCCCGGCCGGCCCCCCCAGTCCACCGGCCCGGCCCGGCCCCCCCAGTCCACCGGCCCGCCCCCCCCCAGTCCACCGGCCCGCCCCCCCCCCAGTCCACCGGCCCGGCCCCAATCCACCGGCCCGCCCCCAATCCACCGGCCCGCCCCCAATCCACCGGCCCGCCCCCCCCATCCACCAGACCCCCCCCCAGTCCACCAGACCAGCCCGCCCCCAGTCCACCAGACCAGCCGGCCCCCAGTCCACCAGACCAGCCGGCCCCCAGTCCACCAGACCAGCCGGCCCCCAGTCCACCAGACCAGCCGGCCCCCAGTCCACCAGACCAGCCGGCCCCCATTGTCCACCAGACCGCCGGCCCCCATCCACCAGACCAGCCCGCCCCCCCAATCCACCAGACCAGCCCGCCCCCCCAATCCACCGGCCGCCCCCAGTCCACCAGACCAGCCGGCCCCCCCATCCACCAGACCGGCCGCCCCCAGTCCACCAGACCAGCCGGCCCCTGTCCACCAGACCAGCCGGCCCCCATCCACCAGACCGGCCCGCCCCCCCAATCCACCAGACCGGCCCGCCCCCAATCACCAGACCAGCCGGCCCCCAGTCCACCAGACCGCCGGCCCCCAGTCCACCAGACCGGCCGGCCCCCAGTCCACCAGACCGGCCGGCCCCCAGTCCACCAGACCGGCCGGCCCCCAGTCCACCAGACCGGCCGGCCCCCCAGTCCACCAGACCGGCCGGCCCCCCCAATCCACCAGGGCCCGCCCCCAATCCACCAGACCGCCGGCCCCCAGTCCACCAGACCGGCCGGCCCCCAGTCCACCAGACCGGCCGGCCCCCACCCAGTCCACCAGACCGGCCCGGCCCCCAGTCCACCAGACCGGCCGCCCCCAATCACCAGGCCGGCCCCCAGTCCACCAGACCGGCCGGCCCCCAATCCACCGGGCCCGCCCCCAATCCACCGGCCCGCCCCCAATCCACCGGCCCGCCCCCAATCCACCGGCCCGCCCCCAATCCACCAGACATCCAATCTCTCCCACAGGATGTTCCCAGGATACACAGAGCACTGGGGGTTATCTAAGAACAGAAGCGGCTTCCTTTTGGACAATCCGTCTCAAATTGGAACTAGTGATGCACCCAAATAGAAATTCAGGATGAACGTGGCTGAAATGGACAATTTTTTTTTTTTTTTTTTTAATTGTGTTAATTTTTGTATTGAAGTCACTAGGGGGCTTTTTTGCATTGAAGTCTATGAGACGTGGGGATGTTTTTGCATTGAAGTCACTAGGGGGCGCACATCTTTTCACAAGCGTGCATTTATTTTTCTCCTGCATATTTAAGGCCGTCCCTTCATACCTGCTGACTGTGTACAACTGCAGGGCTTGTGAATGGAGTATGAGGCTGCTCATCAGCGCCCCCCGCAGTCCATTCAGGTCCACAAGCCGTCAGCCATTGTGGTAGATTTAGTTCGTCCATTCACAGGAAACTGAATGGTTGACACGGCTGTGTGGGCGGAGCCACATTTTCCAATAATAAAACAGCATTGTAGGCGCCCCCCCCCCCCCCCCCCCGCAGTGACTTCAAGGCCAAAAAACGCCCCCCCCCCCCCCCTTAGTGGCTTACAGGCCAAACCCCCCCCCCCCAGTGGCTTAAAGTGGCCCCCCCCCCCCCCCCCCAATCCCAGTGGCTTTAAGGCCAAAAACGCCCCGCCCTAGTGACTTCAATGAGAAAACCCCCCCCCCCCCCCCCCCAATCCCAGTGACTTCCACACAAAAAACACGCCCGCCACATTAATTTAATTAGGAAAAAATAATGAATGCCGGTCCATCTTGAGTTTTTGAATTTTCATTCGGTGAATCGCTACAATGTATCTATTCCATGTAACACGTATGATTTCTGACAACATGTCACTATAATGGCGGATTTATCACCAACCAGGAGAGAACGTTGAATCGCTGAGTCCTTGGAGGTCACACACAGACAAGAGGGACACGGAAGCCACGTGTAGCACACTCATGAACACGCGTGTACGTACCGTTGTAGGACAGCCGAGGTTTGCTTAGACACATAATAAAGTGCATCTCCATCTCATCGGACGCCACGGCCTTGGAACATATCGGACATCGGAAGCCTGGAAGGGAAAGCAGACGGTGAGTTCCTCCACCCAGGAGACGTGGACAACCGGCAGGAAATGACCTCCGGGGGGCGCTCACACCGGCCTGACCCCACATATAACACGCACCATACATATCCACACACAACAAACAAAAAAAAAAAAAAATCCAAAATCCCACCCAACACACACACAAAACCAAACACACAAACCAAAAACACACACAAATCACAAAAACCACACACACCCAAAAAAACAAACACACACACACACCCCAACACCCACAAACACCCCCACACAAACCCAAAAAACCCACAAAAACACACAAAACACACCCCCCACCACCAAAACAAAAACAAACCATATATATAAAAAACACAAAAACAAAACCCCAAAACAAACACAAAAAAACAAAAAACAAAAAACAAAAAAACAAAAAAATAAATACAACACAAAAAATAATATATCACACACACACAAATAAAAAAAAAACAAAACAAAAAAAATACACACACACACAAAAAAAAACAAACACACACAAATAAACAAACACAAAAAAAAAAAAAACACAAAACAACCAAAAACAACAAAACAACACACAACACAAACAACACATATACAAAACAAAAAAACACACAAAACACAAAACACACACACAACACAAAAAAACAAACAACAAAACAAACAAAAAAAAAAAACCCAAAAACAACAAACATACAAAAAAACACACAAAACACCACACACACAATATACAACACACAAACACAACACACACACACACAACACACACACACACACATAAACATACAACACACACACACAAACACACATACATACACAAAACACACACACACACAAAACACACACACAAAAACACATACATACACACAACACACAACACACACACACACACACATACACATAAACACACACATATACATACACACACACATATACAACAACACACACACATATACATACACACACACATATACATACACACACACATATACATACACACACACACACATATACAAACCATTCCTGAGCGCTCATCACGCGGCGCAAACAAACTTCACCTGGAAACTCCGGGAGGGGAAGTCGCTGAGTGACAACGTAACTAATAAAAGGGAACGTTTCTAAAAATAGACTGAAAAGGTGAAGATTTACCGGAGCCCATCGCATCCATGTCACCCCCGGACGCCACGCCGTCATTCTGAGCGTTCAGGGGAAACAACAGGTTCTCTTTGGCTCCATTCACACTTGTGCGACTCCAAAGTCGTGCGACTTCCTCGGCATCCATGAAGCGACTTTGGCGGCTGCACAACTGTCAGGTTCGTTAAGGCCAGCTTCACACCGGTGCGTTTTTTTGGGCTTTTTGCAGAAACGCAGTACAGCTCTTTTGGACTGCTGCGTTTTTGGAAAGGGTCGGGACTTTTTTTTTTTTTTTTTTTTTGAACGCAAAAATCAGCAATTTTGTTACAACAGGGTTCAATGGAGAAGCTGCTGAAACGCATGGAGTGCATTTTTAGCAACATTTTTATTCTGCACAGCAACAAAAAAATGTCTCCTTTACAAAGAAAAAAAAAATTAAAATAAAAAAAAATGTTTTTTTGGTACTATATTTGACTTTTTAAATATCATGAATTTAAAGGACTATAAATGAATTTTTAGCACCTTTTCGGCAGATCGTCCGCTTTCACACGGAGCAGTTTTTGCATTTAAAAACAAAACAAAAAAAAAACACAAGAAAAATGCATCCCTTTAAATTCAATGCATGTCTTCCCATCGGTCCATTGCGCTTCCTTTGTGGTGTCAAAAATCCCACTTGCCGCATTTTTGGTGAATTTAAAAATTTTTTTGAGCTGCTGCATTTTTGTTGTGTTTGTGGAGTTTTTGAAGCGTTTTGCATTTTTATCTGCCCAGTTGGCAAAAAAACAAAAACGCAAAAAAAAACGCGCATCAAGAACTGCATCAAAAACACACACATGTGAAACACAAAATACAAACTGCATTGGTGTAAAGCAGGCCTGGAATAAATTGAAAAACGCATCAAAAACACACATGTTGCGTTTTTGATGAGTTTCACATTTTTAATCATCCCAGCAAGACGTTGGCCAAATAAAAAAAAAAATAAAAAAAGCAAAAAACACATCAAAACCATGCATGAAGGGAAAAAAAAAAAAAAAAAAAAAAAAAAAAAAAAAAAAAAAAAAAAAAAAAAAAATCGCAAAACAGCACAAAATGGAAAAGCGCAAACTGATTGGTGTGAAACGCATTGAAATCGCACAAATTACGGCTCTCCAGCTGTTGAGGAATTGCAGGTCCTATGAGGTGCTGCAAGACACTGACAGTCACAGGCAGGACTCCCAGAGGAATGATGGGACTTGTAGTTCCTCAAAGATCTTGAAGGCCATAACTTGAGTGGTTGGGGAAGGGGGGGGGGGGATGGTAAGATTAGGGGGCAGTGGGGGAAGGGGAGGTCATTTCTGTTGCGGAGTCGGAGATTCAGTTATTAAACTTTATTTTCTGGACTATCGATTTCCCTGCCACACAGTCCTCCGGCGCCTCCATTCTGCTCCCCGGCGAGGCGCGGATGTAGCAGTCGGGGTTACGGCCGCTGAATGACAAGCGAGCGCGGAGAATGGAGAGGCGCTGTGCGCTGCGTCATGCTGAACGTGTGGGCAGCGGAGGAAACACAGGAGTCTGGAAGCTGCACCTCCCCCGCTGGCAGGCTGACACACTTCGCAGAGATACGGGGAGGAAGCGGCGGTCTCGGCTGACATCCTGTGCGATGCGCCGCCAGGCAGCTGCTCCTCCGTCCTCTGCAGATCTCTGCCATGTGCAGCTGCTGGAGGGAGCAGAGACAGGAAAGAGCAAAGCTCTGCGGGGTGAGACGGCACAGCCAGGGAGGTCGGTGTTCAGGAGCACCGCTGACATCCCTAAACCCCGGCACACATCTCCCCGCCATGCCATCCGGCGCATCTCCCCCCGCCATGCCATCCGGCGCATCTCCCCCCGCCATGCCATCCGGCGCATCTCCCCCCGCCATGCGGCGGCGCATCTCTCCCCGCCATGCGGCGCATCTCTCCCCATGCCATCCGGCGCATCTCTCCCCGCCATCCCGGCGCATCTCTCCCCGCCATGCCATCCGGCGCATCTCCCCCCGCCATGCCATCCGGCGCATCTCTCCCCCCGCCATGCCATCCGGCGCATCTCCCCCCGCCATGCCATCCGGCGCATCTCCCCCCGCCATGCCATCCGGCGCATCTCTCTCCCCCCATGCCATCCGGCGCATCTCTCCCCGCCATGCCCAGGAGAGCCATCTCCCCCCGCCAGAGCCATCCGGCGCAGCCCAACAGAGGAGAGCCCAGGCTCATCTCTCCCCCCGCGAGCCCATCCGGCGCATCTCCCCGCCATCCCAGGGCGCATCTCCCCCCAACCATCCGAGGAGCAGCCCAGGCTCCGAGAGGCGAGCCCAACAGAGGAGAGCCCAGGCTCCGAGAGGCGAGCCCAACAGAGGATCTCCCCGCCATGCCAACCGGGATCTCCCCGCCAGAGCCCCGAGGAGAGCAGGCTCCGAGAGGCGAGCCGCCAGAGGAGAGCCCAGGCTCCGAGAGGCGAGCCCAACATGCCAGGCTCGAGAGGCAGCCCAACAGAGGAGAGCCCAGGCTCCGAGAGGCGAGCCCAACAGAGGAGAGCCATCCGGCTCCGAGAGGCGAGCCCAACAGAGGAGAGCCTAGGCTCCGAGAGGCGAGCCCAACAGAGGAGAGCCTAGGCTCCCCCCAGAGCCATCCGGCGAGCCCAATCAGAGGAGATCCCCCACCATGCCATCCGGAGGCTCTCCCCAACAGAGGAGAGCCCAGGCTGCATGATCTGATCTGGAGAGAGAAGGCGAGCCCCCAACAAGAGGAGAGCCCAGGCTCCGAATAAACCGAGCCCAACAGAGATCAGAGCCCAGGCTCCCCTTTGAGGCGAGCCCAACATTAGGAGAGCCCAGGCTCCTGAGAGGCGAGCACCAACAGGGGGGAGGACCTGCAGAGGCGAGCCCAACAGAGGAGAGCCTAGGCTCCGAGAGGCGAGCCCAACAGAGGAGAGCCTAGGCTAAAACACACCCATCTCCAGTAGCACTGCATCCACTAAAAAAAGGTGACCTTTGGTAGAGTCATTGCACACTTCAGGCCCAATATCTGAAGCCCTCACTGTATCAGACATCAGACATTATCTGGAGGGATCTGACCAGCCATGGACAGTCAGTTGATGAATGTGTGTTCGTCCCCAGAGGGATGACATCACAGCCTGACCAACCAACCCCCAGCCCAGAGTAGGGTACGGCCATCTCTGGGTACAAAGCCATACAGGTTCCTTTGTAATTGGAGCCATTTGATAAGACCCCAGAATGGTGAGGACGGTGGAAGGAGATTGGAGGGTTACGGGGAAACACCAGGAACCAGCGATGCCCCTGGAAGCGGCCGAACCAATTATATTCCGCATGTCGCCAGCCGTCCTCCATTATACACACCAGAGGAGGAGGAGGAGGATGAAGACGACAAGAGCGGGATTTACCTCCCCCAAGTGACAGTCCACAGATGACGGCGCCGGCAGACGACGGGGATTAGACACCAAAATAGCAGAAGAGCTGCAGGCTGGAATTACCTACAAAGCAGAAGACGGAGGAACCTCACATTTACCCTCCCCCGTGGCAGGAGGACACCGACAGAGCGAGTGGGAAGCGTTCAGATGGCGCGGCGCCAACTGGAAGACGACCTCTACAAACTATACATAGGGCAGGGCAACCCCTTGACACCCCTTCACCCCGACCACCAGTGTAAGGACGACCCCTTCCCCCGACCACCAGTGTAAGGACGACCCCTTCCCCCGACCACCAGTGTAAGGACGACCCCTTCCCCCGACCACCAGTGTAAGGACGACCCCTTCCCCCGACCACCAGTGTAAGGACGACCCCTTCACCCCGACCACCAGTGTAAGGACGACCCCTTCACCTACCGACCACCAGT